AATATTACGGAGAAACAAAGCATCACAAAACACTATCTATGTCACTACATCATAGTAACGTTGATTTTAATTTTAACAACACTTGTTACATCTACTGTGGTTATGTGACACCCCTGCTTCTCTTCTATATATATATTGTTTCCCCCTCTCATACATGTATACAATGTTCTTTCTGTTACAACGATGAAATTCAAATGTGTCTTTTCAATAACACCGTGTTGGATGTCGAGGAGGTTGGGTGGTAGAAGAATAAGTTCTATGGTTGAACTTATATTATTATCTTTATTGCTCCAGTTACAATGTTCCTTACGTTCCTTTCGTTTCTTACACGGCTGTTCCTCACTGCGGTAAACTCTCCGACTTGCGGAGAGTTTACATGTGTCACACAGTGAGCTAACAGTCTGATCACGATCTTTCCCCTGCTTCATACACGCGATCGATTTATAGTAGATCGATCGCGCCGATTCAGCAGGCCGGTCCTAGCAACGGTCGTGCTAGTTACCGGTGCCGGTGTCGACACATGCTGCGTTGCACGTCGAACAATGCGGCGATGTGTCGCACCCTGTGGCAACCAGCAGTTCTTCCTAGAACTGCTGCTTCCCCGCAACCTAACTAGCTCATTGAGCAATGACAGTGATGTCTCATCACATTGCTTAATGGCCTCACTTTACTTAACTTTTTTTTTATTTTAAACCTGCCGCACAACATTTCCCCCCTTCCGGGACAAAGGAAAATGTGTGCAACCGACATTTTCCGTTAATCATTATTATTTTACAATATTTGATTACAATTTGGTTACACTACGTGGCACTTACAACGCTAACGTGCTAACTTTCTTTTTTTTCTTATGTTTGACTAACTTATAAACGATTATTCCTATGATTATTACTATTATTGTAACGCCTGACGTCGTTAGGTAGATAAAGTGCGGATTTTCGTAGAATGAACCGGTATTGTTATCTATTTCATCCGTTAATTCCGTTACTCCCGCCCGCAACTTTTTAAATTGCGTCTTATTTTCTGTCACATTTTCTATTTCTACCGGGTTGCCCTTAGCCGCGCGATTTACTGTTTTGACCTTCGACAGATTGAACCGCGGCAAATACGTATTGATTTGTACACCATTTATCACTTTACTCGCGTGAATCAATATATTTGAAGTTATCAGCTTGCATCGCTCCGCCAACTCTATCTCTCCAACTCTGTCCACGACCTCGCTTTTTTCTTGTTGACTTTCGCAGGAAATTAGTACTGACTCGCTTGTCAGGATCGAATATAACCATACACGCGTTGTATCCAATTTTATCCACACTGTGTGATTTGTCACTACCGTTTCCCCCTTACAATTTGAGAAGTCTCCCGACTCGCTAACGTAAGCTTGCATCTCGCAAGGCGCATCTCTGTGTACTTTGTACACCGACTTGACGTTATCACACACGTAATCGTTTTTTATATGTTTGCATCAATCTAACTGACTTCTCGTTACGATTGAATATGTCTGTCTATTTACATCCACAGCGATCATCTGATTTTTGATCTGAACTACCGTAAACACGTTATCGTGGTCGTGCACGGGTAGTAGCACTACCCTAAATACGTTATACTCTACAGATTTTACCAGAGGAAACGACAATAGTATACACACTCGCATCTTTACAATAAACGCTAACTGTTACATACTCTTTAATAACTAGCCAGTTTTCCAGAGTTACAGCAAACGGAAAATGCAACCCGTGGGTCGACCAACTGCTCGCGTCCCGGAGGCTTTTTAATATTAACTCGACGGGTACTACTTCCAATTGCGCGAATTTCGTTTGTACATCCGTGATGTATCCCATGACGCTTTCCATGTCGAACTCGAGTTCGGTAATTACGCTTCCTCGCTCCATAAAATACTCGGTTAACTTTGCTTGTCGTGCGTAATCGTCCAACTGTTAAGTTATCTCTAATACCGCGTTTCTTACCCTATTTTCGTTTCTCTCAACTATTTCTTCCACGTTTTGTACGTGCGCGATTGTTGCGTTTACAACCTGCAACTGATTTCTAATCATATGTTGTAGCACCGTCTGTTTTTTTACTCAACAACTCTATTTGCTCCGATATCTGTTTTTCATCGTCGGCATCTATGGTGCTGAACAAAACTTTTGCGACAGAGCGTACCGCGTCCACTAGCCCCTTTTGATAACGCGTTTGTGTACCCACAATTGTCTTAACGCGTTTGGCCAGTCTTTCTACCTTCTGCAATTTTTGCTGTAATTCTGCAACAAAACCTTCGCAAAATTCTCTACTTTCACGAACTATCGTTACGTTTTTGCATGTTTCCTGTGTATCTTTCAACATGCATTCCGCCTGTTCTACTCGCGTATATATCGTAGATACGTCTAATCTTACGACTAATCTCCACTTTTCGCTGACCTGCAGCATCGTTTTGTACTTCTCGTAGTACATGACGGGATTGTGTTGAAATTTTTGTATGTGGTACTCTTGGTCCCCGGCTGCACTCCACGCGACGCAAAAGGTAAGTATTACTACTTTTATTAACAACATTTTCCTGCAAGCAAAATGTTTTATACAATACGCCTATATACATTATGCTTTACTTTTGTTACGTCCTGGCCCATGGATACGGTCGGGCTATGGTGGTACGCAACAGCTGGACGTTTTATTTTAGATGCTTGACACAGAAGATGCGGAAATCTATCTGTGTGCGAGTCGAGCGAGTTGTTTATACTTGCGGACGGGTCAACGGCTCGTGCCGATATTACTCCGTCCTTTGTATTCTCGCTCGGTGGTCTCTTTTTAAAGTCTGGAGCGGTCGCTCCAAGGACTAGGAACGAAACCGTGCGATCGCTGGGACGGGAAAATGTACGAGGTCAAGCCTTGATTAATAAATTAATTAGTACACAATTTATTCCTCCTCTTTGTTATGCTGAAATAATTGTTTTATTTATCATTTATAAGTACAATAGTTGTCGAACTAGTTTTTTTTTACATGAGTGGAGGTGTCGAATGTAACGCGAGTTTTACAATAG